GAAACATTGAAGAGTTGTGACTGCTTCATATTAATATACATATATTAGGGCGCATCAATTTTGTTTCACTATACGCGTATAGCATAGGATTCTACGTGTAATTCTAAGCAAATTCGCCGAAGAAACGATTAGTCTAAAATCAGTTTGGAGTTTGCCAAATTACGAAAATAAGTGTCGAAGGAAATGTTGCACCCTCTGGTGGAAGTTTCAAGAAAAAGATAAGTGCAGAAATGGATTCCTCATACCAAAAAACTCCTTTTAGCATGTTTTTATACAAAGTTTAAGCACTTCACAAAGTTTAAGCACTACATCAATCAATTGGTATGGGGTTCAACCACATTTTAAGAGCTACTGTTGGAAATATAATAATTGAAATAATAAAAAAATAATAATTTTCTTACTTGCAATAATCACTTATCATTTCCCGTTTTAAGAAATATTGTTCCAGGTCACATGTTTTATTAAGTACATCCTTGGAATCTGGCAGTTTATACTTGGCTTCGAAAGATTTAAACTGTTCATATTGATGTTCCAAGCGACCTCCCAAACGTAACGAATTATGCAACAATTTCAAATCGGCCTGCAATCAGAAAAGTACCAAAACCATATATAAAATCCTACTTATTGATAACTAATGCATGCTATTTACCGTGACGTCAATACTCGATATTAATAAGTTGACCTTATGTTCGTAGTTACTCAACAGCATGGACATGCAGAAGTTATTATTCATCATTTGTCCTCTGTTGTCGACGATAATGTAATCAAAATTAAATTTGCTCCCAACGACAGTCGAACGTAGAGTACTCCATTTGGCAATAATTATATTGGGAGGAGGATCTAAGATGCCTATGTAGTAGAGAAAATACAAATAGGTATGTGTACGTACATAGATATGCTTTTATGAAATGTGACCATAAAATAATACAAAATTTGTAAATATGACGTCCATTACTGCTCGTAGCAGATAAGAGTGCAATTAGAATGATATATATATATATATACATATATATACATGTGCATTTAAAGTCAATGCTGCAATTAAATTTAAGCGAGCGGAGTGCAGCTAGTATTTTCAGAAAACATGTGCATTTTATTTTTAACTTTGCGGTATAATCTATGAAAACTAGACATGCATAATATATGTATGTGTGTATTTATGTAGAAATCTTACTTGATCCTAAAACACCAACAGACAGTTTTGTAAGTACTTCGAAATGAAACTGCCAACCCGTCACAAAGTCATCATCGTTTTGAACAACTATAAGACAATTCTTGTTCTTGGCTATCGCCCCTAGATATACTGTCGTGGCCACACATTTTCCCAAGCCGCTCTCGTCGTTCAATATGCAAAAATCTCTATTAGCCAAATGACGGTGTAAAAACCGCAACGTCTCAACTTGGAAATCCTTAAGGTATTGTATTATGTGACCTGGTATTTGTACTTTTTCCGATAAATCCAAAGGCTCTGGCGCACTAGTGGCCACAAAATGATACATTGCTGGTTTACACTCCCCCACCACGATTCACCCCTCTCTCAGCTTCGTCGTTAATGCCAGCTATGTCCGCGTATTAGTCGCCGATCGTGTTAATGTAATGCAACGAAATGTATAAAGCAACCAATATGTACAGCAACTTGATGTAAAAGAATATCACAAACATAGAGAATGGCCCAATAAAAAGTGTATTTGGCGTATCGAAGTATTCTTGAGTAACTCTGGCACTTGTGAAATATTGCATGTGTGTAATTTGCTATTTTTCCGTATATTAAAAACTTCTAAATCTGCCAAAATATGTTCCCTCCAAAGGTATTTGCCTTATTGGGTCAGCGTGACAGCGCAGGGTCACTGAACTGTAATGTAGCCCATGGACGAACCAATTTTAAATTTTATCTATGCCACCGTCTAGGAGTGTTATTCAGCTTGTTATAAGCTTTGTTTTTGTGTAGACAAAAGGTTGAGCCTGGTTTTGTTTTGAAAACCGAAATATGCACCCAAAGCAAGGAATTTTGATGAGGAAAGCAACTTGATGGCGGGGTTATTGATATTGCCAGTTTTTGACAGTTAAATTGGCCCAGCCACGGCGAATATGAATTCGCCTGGTCCCAACAGAAATTCGCGCAAAAAAGTGCTGCCATATTTGTGACGAAACAAATGTCATGAAATAACATAACGCAACACCGAAAGAATACAAGATTGCGCTGATTGATGCCAAAGAACGTTCTTTACGTTCTTTGCTTGTTCTTACGTGATCTTGTGTCTTTCGTCCATGACGTCCTCGCAGATTTGTCGATGGAGAGAGCTGAGTAGGCATGAGTAACTATGTGCGGCGCGGCGCAACCGCGTTAACACCGTAGCCGGAGTTTCCGCGCCAACACCAATATAAAAAAACACATGAGACATATAATTCCCCTTCATTCTTTGAAAATTACACTCACTTTTGCTTTTGAGTGGTGAGAACGCCAGAAACTTATGTATCATGGCAAATTTAAAGCCTTTAGTCAAGAATGATAAAAATATCGTGGCATTTACTACATTCCTAGCAGTTAAATTCGGTTAGAAGTAGAAGCGTTGCTTAGCGCCGAAACTTAAAGAAATAATAGATTTGACACCACTGTATTGTGTATGATACTGTATAACAATGGGTACTGTGGTGACGCTCACCATAAAAATTGCGCTATTACGTCACATTGATAATTGCGTTCCCATGAACCAAAAAAAACAAGATCACGCAAGAACCCGTGGTTGTATTTGTAACTGGTTTTGAGAAAAAAGTTTGGGAAAACGGCTTCGTCGGCTGAGCATTTGTTTACATCACAAATGGAGTATCCAAGCAAATGCATGTCCTGAATTTATACGGCAGCAATTCATAGCAATTATGTATGACTCATATTTGTGATATTTTGTACTTTGATGTTAAGTATTTTTGGGGAGCTCCGGGTAACTTAGGGTTTACACCGGACAATATTGTCAAGACAGTTATATCAAAATGATGTGTTTGTTGTAATATGAATTCGCCGTGTTTACAACAAACACATCATTTTGACATAATTGTCTTGACAATACTGTCCGGTGTAAACCCTAAGTTAATCTAAGTTTAAACTGGCGCCTGTTACACGATCAATACAAATCGCGAAATTTGGATCGTGATCCATATTGATGGATCGTGAGTGTGTGCTAAATATTCAATATTTATCGCGTCAGTATTTGCATAATTTTTGTGCTGCACGCTTATTATGCCGCAAGAAAATATTTATATTTTGTTCCAATAATTTAAAGATAATGCATTCCATTATTCTTTTAAAATTAAATAATTTAAATGCTTTCAATTTGTGCTTAAAGGTTTTAAGAGCCGAGAGCGAATACGTTTTTGATGTTCTCATTATGAGAGTACAAAATGTACTGACGGAATGTATGGATCGCGTTTTGAATATGCTACACCTTCAATATTTATTGCGCGGTCCACGATCCGTGATCTGGATTTCAAAACTTCTAGATATTTTGCGACCCGTATCACGATCCATCAGTATTTGATGCTACACCTTCAATAAATATCAAGATTCAGGATCGCGATCCAGATATCGCGTTCCGTATTGATGGTGTGACCACCGCCTAAGATTTTACGAAGCAGGTATCGAAACAACGATTAGAGTAAAAAAGTAGTTGGTATCGAAACAAAAGTATCTGAAAATCCCTAGCTACTCATGCCAGTGATGGAGCAAGAGCATCTAGACAGGATTTTATTTGGAATTTTCAGAGAGCATAAAACGATCTACGAATTTGTTGATACAATTTTTGGATTCCTAACACGCAAGTATGTGCATAGAATAAATCCAACTTGACCTCACATCGTATTGTTTCTAACAAATTCGTTATTAGTACTAATTTTCAGTCAATAAAGTCTTCAGAAAGAGAACGGCTTCAACAAACTTTTTTTGATGCATTGGCGGCCACCGATCCCAATCAGCAATCTTCAGATAGGTCGGAAAATACCATTACGGGAAAATCACGAACTGCTACGTCAGAGAAGGAAATCGAAACGGAAACGGCCGTTGATGGATCGAAGTTTGAGTTGAAATATTTAATAACTGGTACAGAAACTTCTTCGGAAGGTCAAATGGTGTTTAATTCAGATCATTTAATGTCCGATGCGGAATGCTCTTTTAATTTGCAAATACAAAAGAGCGGCACGGGTATTAGAAGATATCGTAAAATTTTACCTAAAGATTACTTCGACCAGAGCGAGAAGATAAGTGCAGAATGCTCAGTTATTCAACGTGATAATTTAGAAAACTACAAGAAACGTGTTTATAAATGTGGTGAATGCTCGGACATATTTAATTCTTTTCGCCAGCTCAAAGTCCACGAAGCCTTTCACATATCTCAAGCAGAGAATGGCATTAGTATTTGTATATATTGCTGCAGTTTGTTTGCCAACGCTGAAACATTAGAGAAGCACATTGGTGAATGTCATTCTAATGGGCGATACTTATGTGTCCCGTGCTCCAGAACATACAAAAGCCGTGGGCAATTACTTAAACATGTAAATTCCAGTGCACACAACGCCAGTGCACTATTATACTATTGCAGTCTATGTCCCCGGTCTGAGAAGTCACATATAGAGTTTCTTTCGCGACCAGCATTACAACAACACTATCAAGAAATGCATTTGCTTATGCCGGCAAATCAGGATGAAGACGACGTCGAAATTGAAATGAATGAAGAATTTCTCGATGAGTTTCTTCTGAATAATGTTAATGAGAACTCTTTTAATTTTTCTGAATGCTGGGATGCATTAGACTTGAACCTTCCAGAGATGTTACATTTGACTAGTACCGATGAAGATGACCCTAATGCTAAAGTTAACATTGTTCAGAACACGGAATTCCCTTTCAAATGTCCAAAATGCTACGAAGGCTTGTCGAGTCAGAAGTTTCTTTTACAACACTGTGCCCACAAACACGGACTACGGGTATTAATTTGCAATAAATGCGATTCTAGTTTCAAGGATTATACTCAGTGGATACATCATAAGAGAACACATCGCGTTCAATGTGAGGTAGTACGAATCGGTAAAGGTGAACCACTAAAATGCGAAATATGCGATAAAATCTTTCAAAGCAATGCCGCACTTAACTATCATGTAAAGACGCATTTGCGCAGTTCCATGCAGGCTGCACACGAATGCCCATATTGTCAGAAACATTTTCATTCCGATATCAATTTCAAGCAGCATATTCGCATCGTTCATTCCCATACAAAGCGACACAAATGTGAGCTTTGCGATAAACCATTTGCAACACTTGATCATCTAAAGAAACATGTTTTGAGCCAACATCAAAATGAGCGCAAACATATTTGCCAGGTATGTGCTAAATCTTTTACTCAATTGTGCCACCTTAAACAACATCTGGCAATACATACTACAGGAAAGTCACAACAGTGCATTAAATGCACTGAGAAATTTTGGCGCAAGATCGATTTGCAACGACACATGCTGAAAAAGCATTCATGAGAACCTTCAATAATCTCCATGTTTAGTTCTTGGCATATAGTATGTACATATCGTCGTTTAAAGTACAAAACCGCGTATCGTCGTTCTGCAAAACCATGTAACTGGCATTTTTTGCAAAAAATTGGATTTGCTCACCGAAGCTCTTGACTCAAGGCTTATCCATTTGTCCGGAATGTGATTGCTTTATAAAAGATAGAACAATTTTGAAATATGAACTCAACAAAATAATTTATGCAACCTCAAATACGCGGTTTTGCATTATGTTAATACGCGGTTTTGTACTTTAAACGACGATATGGATTCAGTTTGCTTTAAACTACATATTTTTAACACAAATTATTTCTAAATGAAAAAGAGTTGGCGGTTTCATATAAAAA